CCCTATATGAAAAAAATTAGAAGTCTGTACTCTTTTTTATTGAAAATGTTCCAGAACATATTTCCAAATAGCAGTTAAAGTGTCATAATCAAGCTTCATCAAATAAATCACTCCCATTAACAAACAAAAAAATCCCTTATGGTACATTTATTATTGAATAAGCTGTATGGTTGATCTCATTCCTGGGAGGAGAGAATGCTATTTTGACTAGAACAATACAGGTGTGACAATCTAAACAAGAATTTTCAGAGATTAGCTTCTGGGGCTGTACATTTCAAACCTTGTTTCTCTTCCACCACTGACATCAGTGTGGCGTCTGGCAGTGCAAGAATATTCATGTCTCAGTACAACCTACCTTATCAGGCAAGTTAGTACAGAGGGCAGCAGGAATATTCTTGGGAGCCATAGAGGTAGCAGTAATATAGGACTTGACAGAAGAGACTGCAAACCACATCCCTGTATCCCAGTATATAAATAAATTTCTGATTAAACCTTCCCCCAAATACCCACAGCCACTTCAACACCACCAGACTTGAATGGACTGAGCGGAAGTCGGGGGTGGAAAAGAGACAGTGGTTTGAACCATCTGTGGCTGAAATATCCCAGTTGTGCAAATTTTATTATGCCCTGTCACCATATGAACACACTGTCAGGGCCCATTCTGGTCCAAGTGAGGGGCCTTGAAACTGATGCTCATTGACTTCCTGGCAAATTGGCCTCAGGCTCCTCCACTCTCAACAACTTCCAAACCCTCACCCCCACTCTCCTGGTGTGTTGCCATCAGCTCTTTTTTTCTTCCTTGCCCATTTCAATCTGTTCTTGATGCAGTGGCCAACGTGATCCTGTAAGAACTGACAGTCAGATCATGTCACACCTCTGCTCAAAAGATTCCGATGTTTTCCCATTTCACTTCCATAAAAGCCAGTAGTCCAGGTGGCCCCGCGTGACCTGGCCCTTTGCCTTTCTGACCTCACCTCATGGTATCCAGCCCTTTCTCAGTCCCCTCCAGTCTCCTGCAGTTTCTGGAATGACCAGGCACAGTCCCATGAGGCTCTTGAACTTGCTGTTAACGCAGCCTGAACAGCTCTTCCCGTCTCCTTCAGAAAAGCCTGCCTGACTACCCTCGTGCGTGCACGGGAGCGTGCTCAGCCACTCAGTTGTGGCGACCCCAGACGCCTCTGTCCATGTGATTTTCCCACTTGAGTGGGTTGCCATTTCCTTCTCCAAGGGATCTTCCTGACCCAGGGATCGAACCCACGTCTCCTGGGTCTCCTGCACTGGCAGGCGGGTTCTTTACCGCTGAGCCACCTGGGAATCCTGACCTCCCTTCATCAGTCCCTGTATCACCATCAAAATAGATGTTTTCCTTTCCGTCTGTCCCCCCACTCTAGAACTGAGCTCCATGAGGCGTGGATCTTTGTTGAGTCTGTGGTTGTGCCCATTTCCTGGAACATGACTGATTTCTGGTAAACACAGGGGTCTCTGCCTTTAATGGACCTTTCTCTAGCCCCACCAGCAGCCCACAGGACCACCTTCTGAGAAACAGTAGTGAAAGTAGTTACTGGAAGTCCAGTTTCCCTAAAAGATAAGAGCAAAGGTGACACAGTGGCAGGATTTTCTAGCATTTGGGCAACTTTGTTTTTATAATGAAATGTTTTCTTGTGAAGTGAATCACCAGAGGATTTGATCACTGAGCTACAAACTTCTCGCACCCCCTCCCTTTGTCCCCAAAAATGCAATCCAGAGTCACTGTGGTAGTAATAGGAAATTGCCAAATCATATAATCTTCCCAGTTCAAAGGAAAAAATACAAATAAAAAGAAAAGGAGGAAGAAGCAAAGCAGACACTTGAAATGTCTGTTCTTGTTTCTTTTCTTCCTTTTCATTTTTATTTCTCCTGATTTCAAATAAAATGAACTAGAAAAAAGCACAGAAAAGCAAATAATACAGGCTGTCATTTGAGCATCCCACTTGATCAGAGGTGTTGACATTCTGGTGTAACAAATGAGCTCAGGACTTGGAGAGATAATATCACTTGTAAATATAAAACATTTTAAGTTATTAACATAAAAAACATTGTCTAAAATGTTTAAAAAAGACAAGTGAAAGTATTTAAAATCCTACCACCACAATGGAGAAGGCAATGGCAACCCAGTCCAGTACTCTTGCCTGGAAAATCCCATGTACGGAGGAGCCTGGAGGCTGCAGTCCATGGGGTCGCTAAGAGTCGGACACGACTGAGCAACTTCACTTTCATTTTTCACTTTCACGCATTGGAGAAGGAAATGGCAACCCACTCCAGTGTTCTTGCCTGGAGAATCCCAGGGACGGGGAGCCTGGTGGGCTGCCATCTGTGGGGTCGCACAGAGTTGGACAGGACTGAAGTGACTTAGCAGCAGCAATAGCAGCACCACAATAGAAAAGCTAGAACTTTTGTATTTTCCCTTCTAATTTTTCTCATATGCATACACTTTTTCATTGTGGTAAAAAAAATACAACATAAAATTTACCACCTTAGCCATTTTTAAGTGTACAGTACAGTAATGTTATGCATATATTTTTATATACATGTTACTGTTATACCTTTTGTATCCTGGTTTTTTTTGCCTCACTTGGCCTCATATCAAACAAATCTTCCATGTAGCAAATTTGTCTACATGCTTGTAATTTTAAAGATGCATAACATTCTATCCTGTGGTTAGAATACACTTTATTTAGCTGTTCACCTATAATGGGACATTTATGCTGTTTACAATTTTCCACTCTTATAATATTATCATGAACTTTTAGTTAATATAGTATTTATCTCTTTGATATTTTTGATGATCTTCTTGAATGATTTTCTAGAAGTTTTCCAGGGAAACTAAGTCAAAAGTGATGTCTTGCATGATTCTTGAAAATTACAGTAGAACTGCTTTCCAATGCTTTCTACCAATTTACAATGATACTGGTGCAAAATGAGAGCACCAATTTCACCACACTTCCACAACTTTTTCTTTTGATATTAACTTAATATTTTAATTTAAATATTAAAAGTTTAAAAGTCATATTACTTAAACATGTATTTTTCCTATATCTATTTTCCTTGATTTTTTTCTCTGTTGGAGAATGCCAGTTTGTGTCACTTTTAGGAGGTTGTCTCAATATTTTTCTTATTCTTTTTCATGGGCTGTATACATAATAAAGATTTTAACACTGTCAGATTTACTGTGAATATTTTTTCCCCATCTGCTGTTTTAAAATGTCTAGTTATACTGTCGCCTGAGGCAATTTAACACTGTTATACCGTTCAGATCTTGTCAATGTGGTTTTTCCTATCACCTTCATCTTAGAAAATTCTCTCCACTTTGTCTTATCCCCAGGGCTTTGATAAAGGATTTAATTCTGCTTTATCTTCCTGATTTTATTTTCTATCATATGTATGACATGTAGGTCAAATTAATCTGCTCTGTGAATTCTCACTAGTTAAACTGGACTCTTCCTTTTTTTATATTTGAGGAAAGCCCTGACTAACTGAAACAGTAGGTCTATACCTGTGTGAAGGGATCTTGTGTACTGGGGCAGGGTTCAGGCTCCCTGGGGAAGAGGAGGAAGGCAGAGCCCCAAGGACTTAGAAAGTGTTTCAGCGAGCCCAGAAAAGGAGCAATATCTAGAATGAAGTGTGGGGCACCTAAATGTCCTTGCGTTTTCACCTTGCTCTTCTGTCAAAAACAACGCTGAGGGGATGAATGGGTTTCTAAAAACTAAAGACCACCTGACCCGCAGATTTCCCTGTCTTTATTGGAGTCGTGGAGTTTTCCAGAAAGGAGCCCCTCTCAGTTGACCTACAATACATACACTGCCCGTTCGTGTTAGGAGCCTGTTCTATGCACATTGTGCGTACCTGGATGACGGGCAGAATAAAATAGCCCCAGGGCAACCATGAGTTCTGCTGAGCGAAGAAAAGGATAAAAGGAGATGAGAAGAGAAATCCAGGTGGGCAGAGAGAGGGCTCGCCGCTGCGCAGCCTTAATCGCGGGGGGCGCCCACCCCCGGCCCCCCGCGGCCCGCGTGCTCCTCCACCCTCCTCTTAGTCGCTCCAAGCCCCTGCACGCACAGACAAGAATCACCGCTTGCTTCCCTGCCTTCTAGCCCGCTGCATCTCAAAACTTTTTCAAGGGTCTTAAACCTGGCGTGGGGAGCCACGTGCACTAGACTGGGCGTCACAAGTGCCCCCGACCCCTCATCCCCCTCACCCCGCCTGCATCCCCACGGCTGCCCACGAACCTGGAGCCTGAACGCTTAAGCGACCACACTCGGAAGGCACGTCTGACCTCCTGATTCTGCTTCCCACCCGCCGGCCCAGGTTCGCGGTTATCCTTCCTTCCCGGTGCTCATAGTATGCAGACCACAAACCCATAATCACTTGGGTTTTTTTTTTTTTTTTCCTTTCTTTGCTGGGATCACGTAGAACATCGCTTGACTTTGCATCTTTTCACTGGCACGCAGGTGGAGGGAGCAAGCCTCGGCCTCCGTCTGGCACGAAGTCCGGCATTTAACCTTGTGGGCAGAGCACCCGCCACTTGAACCTTGGCAGAGAAAAAGCATCTGGTCCATTTCACGTGAGCGCGCAGGGTCCAGATCCCCGAACCTGTGTACCAGGGACGTCCCCCGTGCCAGCCAGGCTGCGGGGAAGCCCAGCCACTGTGAAATCTCCAGGACAATCTCTTCCTCGCCACCCTGCCCGAGGGAATTCACCCTCCGGGGCCGCCCCGTCTGGCTCCCTCCCACTGCCCCGCGGGACTGGCGCAAAGAGGAGAGAAGGTGCTCTCCTCAGAAAGGCCCCGGGGTGCCGCGTGGGTCTCAGGGTGCACAGGCCTGCGTCTCCCCGGTGGGGCCCCGGAGGGAGGGAGCGTGGCGCCCGCGTGACCGACCGCACGCAGAGAAAGTCCCCCGAGACTGTGACCCCTGCGCCCGGGAAGGGGGAGGGGAGGCGGGGCGGATGCGCAGGAAGATGCCGCGATGGGACCGGGAAAAAAAACACCGACCCTCCCCAAACCACCCACCCCCAAACCGCCCACTGGAGTTTCTCAGCCCGAGTTCTCCGAGAGCGGCCAAGAGACGCCCCCCCAGGGCTGCGCCGCGCCTCCACCACCGCAACCTGTCCCAGCCTCGCTTCTGCTGGGGGGCTTCGCGCTCCCTTCTGGGTTTCGGAGCCACCACGTGACTTCCACGAAGAAGGGGGGGCCCAGCGGAAAGCGGCGGCAGGGGTGGGATTTGGGACCCCGGGGTGCGACGAGAGGGCGGGGAGAGGAGGAAACGGAGCGGGGGTGGGAGAAGGCGGGGCGGGGCGGACTCGGGGACGGGAAGGACGGCGCGCTGGGACCTGGGGGGGTGGGGAAACCCGGGCGCCGCGCGGCTGAGCCAGGGGAGCGGGAAGCCCGGGGGGGCGGGGCCGAGGCGGCGGCCCGCAGGTGCGGGGGCGCGGGGATGCGTGCGGCCCAAGGGAGCCGGTAGGCAGCGCCCCGCGTGCAGGGCGCGCCTGGCCGCGCGGCCGCTCGTCCGCGAGGCTGCGCGGCGGGCCGGGCCGGGCCGGGCCGGAGCAGCGCCCGGCATGTCGCAAGGGCTCCCGGCGGCCGGCAGCGTCCTGCACAGGAGCATCTCGGTGCCCGGGAACCAGGCGCGGCCACAGGTAGCGAGCAAGATAGAGGCTCGGGGGGATGCCCGGGTTGGGGGGAGCGGTGGGCGCGCCACGGGGGGCGCGAGGAGGTGGGTGCTGGGGCTCCCGGATGGGGACTGCTGGGAGCAGGGGTGGAGGACAACGCGGGAGCCGGACGCGAGAGGCGTGGGGGGCGCGCGGGGACCCGGGTGTACGCCTCTGCCGGGACGCCTCAGGCGCACGCCAGATGCCCAGGGCGGGCGGTGACTGGGCTCCTGAGCCTGGGAGGAGCAGAGGTCAGAGGGCGCCGACGCCTGGTAGGGCTGGGCACTGTCCACGCTGCCCCGCACGTGGGGTCCGGGCCGCCCTGGGTGTCGCCATCCGTGCGCCGCCGCCGGCTGCCGCCCCATCGCCAGAGCGCGTGGTCCTTCCCCGCGGCGCCGAGCTGGGGCCAAGGTGTGGAGAGGGGAAATTCCGCTCTGAGGGGCGGCTCGTGCCCAGGCACTCTCAGCGTGTGCTCCCCTCCGGCAGCCTCCCTAATGCCCCAGGGACGCGAGGTGGGGGCCCGAGGTGGGCAGACTCCAACCTCAGGGCGGGTGGAGAGCCCTCGGCGGGCGCCGGGCCCTCTGCGCTGTCCACCGCGGTGTTTACAGCCGCGTACTCGGGGAAACACACAAGGTTGCCGGCAGGGACGGCAGACCGAGAACAACTCACTCAGCTGCGTTAGGACCGAGTCTTTTCAGGGTTATGCCCTGCTTCTCAGTTAGGTGCCTGGCACAGAATGTCATCGGGTGACGCTAGTGAGTCACACAGCTGAGTCGGGGCCTCAGCGTTGCCCACACAGGCTGAGTAGCCTTGGGCAATCTGCTTCACCTCTCTGAGCCTCAGTTTCTCAACGTGTAAAAATAAATATAATATCAACTTATTGTGATTTTTATGAGGACTAACTGAGATATGGTTAGTAACATAAATATCTCAACATTTTTTGCTCTCTTTCTGCCTTGATTAGATGTTTCTGCTGGTTGTCAGGTCTGACCATGTGGTAGGTGATCAATCCCGTTTGGGGTGTCCACTTTTACAGGGCAGGATGCATGCTCCTCCTGTGTGCCTTATGAATCTCCGATGATGACCAGAGAGGCATGATTCGGTGATGAGTGCTATAAGGGACTCAACAGTAAATAACAGAGGTTATTGAAGACACACCATGTGGCACTTTGGGATAAAATCTAGTTTTATCTTATGCAGCTCCAAGCGCTGGGCTGCTAGTGTGATCATGGCAGGGGTTATTGACCACTTGTTCAGGGCATGTGTCTCTAGTGCGCAGGACAGTGCCTGGCACATGGCAGGTACTCAGTTAATACTTACTGAAAGAATGAATGAATCACCCAACAAATGAGAAAACAAAAAAATCAGAGAGTACAAGTCATTTACCCAAGGCCATATTGATAGTAAGAGACAGAACCAAGAACCTGTATTTCTAAAGCTGAAGTTCTGCTTGTCAGACTCCCTGTTGTGTTCTGGTTACCACCAAGACTTCTTTGCCTCTTGAAGACGACATCATAACATCTTGTGTCTGGTCCCTTAAACACTGTCTTCAAGCCACTTCTCTATGTCACATTCTTTCTTCTTTTCCTTTCATAGCTTTGTATTCTTGCATATGCTGAAAATTCTCTACTCACTGTAACTTGGGGAGATATTTATCTTATTTGTAATATTAGACCAGATAAAATGATATCTGAAAATATCCATTATTTCATATTATCAATAATTGCTTTCCATTAATAGTAATAACTGAGTAGCTTTCTTGTGTTTGTATCCCACTGATTTCTTGATCTCTAAACTCTTTAAAGGTAGTATTTCTATGGAATCTTCTCATAGGCCTCTGGGAGGCAAATACTACACCCCTCCTCTGTTTTCTATAACTGGATGAAGTATTTTTACCATTGTAGGTGCGTTTTTCTGCCTGCCTTTTCAGGTTAACTCTTGAAGGACTTGATTAAGTTTGGTTAAATCTCATATATAGCTAAGAGCTTTCAAGACACATCATCAGTTTGCTTTCTGATTCAGATTGCTCTGACCTGTGAAAAAAAATGTCAGTCAAGCTTTGTTCAAAGGGATGAGCTGCTTGTGGCGCTTAGGACCACTTGGTGTGTTGGAAGAGTTGCATGGCTGCAATCAGTAATCAGCATAGTTCTGATTTGCACACAGTGTCAAAAGTACCAGTTTGTGTGTGGTGGTGGAAGGCCTGGCCCGCGGCAAGTCCCAGATAGCAGCCGCCTTCTGCCTTTCCCGTCCTCAGATGCACACCAACACCACACCTCTTCCAGGCACACGCCCAGGGGCGGGGGTGGCGGGGAGTGGAAGGTTTGAGAACGTTGGTTTGGAGTCCAGCAGACCTGAGTTCCACTTCCCGTTGGGCCCCCCACTAGCTGTGATACCTGGACAAGTTCCTCAACCTCTCGGAGTTTCTTATTCCTCATCTTTTAGATGGCAGCCCCGCCACACAGGTCTCGGGGGTGGCGGGGGCGGGGTAGCAGCTAACAGCCATAGCGCGTGGCTAGTGCTCCCTCGACGCGGGGCCCCTCTTCCCCCGCTGATGGAGCAGCACGCGCTGCTGTGACTGCAGCGAACACGGTGACGCTCCACGACCAGGGCTGGATGAAGAGAGCAGGCAGAGGCGGGGCAGCGAGGGGCCTCAGCATCCCGCTTGACCACGCCCTTTCCCCCAGAGCCCTGAGGATGACGACAGGAAGGTCCGGAGGCGAGAGAAAAACCGGGTTGCTGCACAGAGAAGTCGGAAGAAGCAGACCCAGAAGGCTGACAAACTCCACGAGGTGAGCAGGTGTTTGGGGCAGAGACACGTGAGGGCCACGGCGGGGAGTGGTCCTCCGCCTCTGCAGGGTGGTGGCCGCGCGGCCACGCCCTGGTCATCACCACTTCGGCCACGTGCACATCTAATCCCGCTGCGTCCCTCCAGCCCAGCATTCCGAGTCTTCCCTCTCCCATGTCCTCATTGCTCCCTCACTGGTTGTATCTCACAGTTTTCTTTTAATTTTAAAGCAAGGAAACTTCCTTTTGATCCCGATTTCCTTTCAAGCTAGTGCCCCATTTCTCTTCTTTCCCTCCTTTATTTACCTGCTTCTTAAAAAAAAAAATTATTGAATTTATTTGGCAGACAGGATCTATTGTTATGGCATGTGGGATCTAGTTCCCTGACCAGGGGTGGAACTTGGGGCCCTGCATGGGGTGCATGGACCACCGGGGAAGTCCCTCCCTGCTTCTTAAAAAGAGACCTGTTGAATCCACGTCCCCAGTTCCCATTTATTTCCCAGTCCACTGTGATATCCTTTCTGCTCCCCAAACACATTCGCGCTCACACACACACTGTTCCTACAGAAACTGCTCCGCTGAGTCCACTAGCGTCCTGACACGGTCCAGGGAGCTCTTTCTAGTCCCCTCATCCTTGACCTTGCTGGGACCCCTGACACCCCTAACCCTCAGCTTCTTGAAACATTCTTTCAAGGTCTTTAGCTTTATTTTTTATAACTTTAAAAGAGTGTTTGTTTTCGTTTATTCCTTTGGCTGTACCAGACCTCAGTCACAGCACTCAGTTTTTTTCAGTCTTCGTTGCAGCATGCAGGATCTTATAGATGCAGCATGTGGAATCTAGTTCCCTGACCAGGGATTGAACCTGGGCTCCCGCACTGGAAATGTGCAGTCTTAGCCAGTGGACCACCAGGGAAGTCCCCCTCAAGGTCTTTAGCTTCCTATCTCTCCTGACCCTCTTAACCACTTTTTTTCTGTTTCTTTGTTCACTTTTCTACTTGTCTGTTTTCTCAAATGTTGGTGCTGACCATGCTTTCAGACTCTACCCTTTTTTCATCTCACCTGGAAGATTTAATCTGTTGATCTGTCAACTCCCAGCATCGCTTACCCTCAGATAGGCATTGATCACTGCAGCAAGACCTCTGTCCTGGCCCTAGCCCCACATCTCCAGTGTCTGCTTCGAGGCCTCCAAATGGGTCCCTGCAGGCTCCTTGGTGGCAGCCTGGCCATAATAGTGGGATTGTTCATCCTGAGACTTCCTCTTCTCAACTGTCTTCAAATTGTAATATGAAGCTAATCAGCCGTCGAACCATCACCCCAATCAGGAACCTGAAGGTGATGCTAGACTCTTTCCTTCCCTGCGATCCCTGTGTTTTATCCCACATAATCTTGCAGCCAGAACGCGGGAACCACTCCATGTCAGGAAGTGATGTAGAAGGCATCCCAGGCTCTGTCCAAGGAATGGATGGCAGTTCTGTGCTCATCTTTGCACAGGTTGATGTGATCTTTAAGGGTTTTGGTTCAGCACTCTTTTGCCACTCTTCTGGTCGTAGATTGTCTGCACAGCCAGTCTGAGGGTGTTGACAGCATTAGAGACTGTGGGGTGTTATGAGGGGGAAATGACTGTCTCTAAAAACTCCTTCAGACTGAGCAGAGAACAGATTTAGAATGCACGGGCTCCAGAGAGAGGAGACCCACTGATGTAAATTCACGGAGGGCTGTACGTTATAAATGTTAGATTCTTTCTTGAAAGTAGGACGTCTGGGCTGTAGAAGGAGACTAGGACCTTCAGACCAGGGTCAGGGAAAGCCTGTCCCAGACTGGATTGTTCTGTAAAATTCCTCGGAAGAATTGGGATGTCCTTTGCCTCCTTTCTTCCCTCCCCTTGCTCGTGAAGCAAGCCTGGTTCTAGCCTGGTTCTAGCTTCATGTTACCCCCAGAGGGGATTTGCGGCTCAGTCAGTGCACAGCGCTATGTTCAGAGCACATGCGCCAGCCTGACAGCTGCGCCCTTCTTCTCGAGGAGCTTCTAGTTGGATATGGGCATATTAATATCAAAGCACACCAGAGGACACTCGGTTTTAAGACCTCTGTGATTATGTGTGCAGAGGTGACTAAATGACTTGGATAAGATCTTTCATGGGACCAGGTAGATTCATTCAACAGATACATATTTTTAAATTTTTATTTTTATCTATTTATTTGGATACACCAGATCTTGGTTGCAGCACTTGGAATCTTTGATCTTCATTGCAGCGTGCCACGTCTTAGTTGCAGCATATTGGATCTAGTTCCCTGACCGGGGATGGAACCCTGGCTCCCTGTATTCAGAGCACAGAGCCTTAGCCACTGGACCCCCAGGGAAATCCCTCAACAAATATTAATGAAGAGCCACTGCCAGCAAGGCACTACCACTAGGTCACAAGGAGAGGAATCAGATCTCATTCCTGTCCTGGGGAGGTATAAGAGTCTTAAAGTGAAACTGAAGTGAAAGTTGCTCAGTTGTGTCCGACTCTTTGCGACACCATACAGTCCATGGAATTCTGCAGGTCAGAATGGTGGAGTGGGTAGCCTTTCCCTTCTCCAGGGAGTCTTCCCAACCCAGGGATCGAACCCAGGTCTCCCTCATTGCAGGTGGATTGTTTACCAGCTGAGCCACAAGGGAAGCCCATGAATACTGGAGTGGGTAGCCCATCCCTTCTCCAGCAGATCTTCCTGACTCAGGAATCCTGCACTGCAGGTGGATTCTTTACCAACTGAGCTATCAGGGAATAGATAAGAGTCTTAAGGAATAAGAGTCTTAAGGAAAGACTCTTAATAAGAGTCTTAAGGAAGGACCCAATAAGAGTCTTAAGGAAAGTGTATTCATTTCCTTCAGCTGCTGTAACAAGTTATGACAAATTTTTTGTGGCTTAAAACAGCACAGATGTACATTATCTCACAGTTTTGGAGGTCAGGCGAACGAAGTGGGTCTCAGTGGGGTAAAATCAAAGGGTTGACAAGGGTTCATTCCTTCTGGAGGCTCTGCAGGGGAGTCATTTTCTTGCCTGTTCCAAGAGGCTTCCGTACTCCTTGGCTTGGGGTCCCCTTCCACTTTCAAAGCCAGCACCGGCCAGTTGAGTCTGTCTCATCTGGCATCACTCTGCTGCCATTTCCATTGTCACATCTCCTTCTCTGACTCCTCTTTCCTTAATAATCTCATGTGACAGTGAGAGCTGTCTATGTAATCTGGGGTAATCTCTCTGTTTTAAGATTCTCAACTTAAATCACATTTGCAAAGTTCCTTTTGCCACACCAGATAGCACAGTCACAGGTTCCAGAGATCGGATGTAAACATCTTAGATGTGTGTGGGGTTGGGGGGAGCTTATTCTGTGCGCCATAGAAGGTAACATGAATACTTTACTACAGCATCAAAAAAAAAGATGGGTCTCTCTCAATTTCTGTCATTGTGGGATTTGATAACCAAATGAACTTGACCTCTGGGAAACTTAAGGGTGGTTTGTCACATTTTCTCCTGCTTAATCCCTCTTAGAACAGTGGGTGGAGGACCATTCATAGCATTCTTAGCTTGTTCTGCTACCCATAGACATAACCATTCCAGCTGCCCTTTCCAGAAACGGTGCCGATTGCTCTGAAACCCAGGCCCTCCACAGAAGACCACGGCCTCCCCCACTTTCTCTGGGGGAACTGCCAGGATGGATCGGGATCATGCACCATGCAGCAGGGCCAGTTTTGTTGGGAAACAGTGTTGAGGAGGCCGGGACAGTGGTTCCATCCATACCACACAGATCCCTTTGCTGTCACTAGCTCCACACAAGTGTCATCGGTCACTGGTGGCAGTAGCCACCTTGGTGACTAGTTTTCAAACTTTGAAAAACATCTGCACGTTGAGAGTGAGATGTCTGGTTCAGACGTGTGGGGATGAATAATTTGACTGTGCTCCAGTGGGTTGCAGGCAGGGGACCTTGCACACCGCTGTGGGTCACAGCTGAAAGCCCCGTGTGCTCCTTGGGGCTCCCAGGCCACATCTAGGTTGGGAGAAGTGAGAGGTGATTGGAAACCTCCTTCTCAGACTCGGAATGAGGCCAGCTCATTGGGAGACATCAGGGCCTTAGAAAGCCACCACCCGACAGCCACAACTGCCCTGCTTTTCCCTGAGGAGAGGAGCCCACCTGTTGTAAGAGTAAAGAGGTTTTTTTTTGGCCATGCCAAAAAAACTGCAACCTGTGGGATTTTAAATTCCTGGACCAGGACTCGAACCCACATCGCTCTGCAGTGGAAGCATGGAGTCTTAGCCAGTAGACCGCCAGGGAAGTCCCCTTGAGTAAAGCCTTTATCCCATAAATTCCTCTATCCCATCTGGTGGGCTGCCATTGCTAAATGTCTCCAAGTAACGCAAGCCCTTTGTTTGCCTTTCCTGAGCACCGTGAAGGGGAATATTTAGAGCAGGATGTGTTCAAAAATTCCCACTGTTCTCTCCTGCCCACTCAGTTCTTGAGCGTCTTTCCCCTCCAACATCCAGAAAAGTCTCCTCTAGTCCCGGCTGTTACAAGTCTCTCAGGTGCCCTTCTTCCTTTCCCAGCTCTCCAGCCCCAAAGATGGGGGGCGCTTTCCCATCAGGGCAGGACCCCCTGAGGGCAGGCTGGGAGGGGCGCCTGGGCAGGCAGAGCCAGGGAGAGGCCAGGCTCACTCTTCAGGGTTGTCTGAGTTCCCCCGCGGGCGGGTGTTGCTGGAAGCCACACTGCAGTGACGAAAAGCGGTTCCTAGTATGTATCTGTGCGCCTCGCTGTTTACTGTGGCTTTTCAAGTCATCCAGTCAAAGCACGTACCCTTCTCTTGGGGATTTTGAGCCCGTATTCATCTCTGAACACTAGGCACACGACCTGGGTCCACATTCACAGATGGGAGCCCCAGAAGACGGTCCGCGTCTCTAAGGCCAGTTGCGAGTGTCAGAAGTGGGTCACACTGGTTCAAGCCAGGCACCCAGAGATGTAAGACTGAGAATGGA